GCAACATCCAGTCGGATGTGCGTGACTCAACAGCATTGATACAGAAATTTGGCTACATTTTACGTAATAAAGAATTCTCATCCGTCAACTCACCATCAGGGCACAACGCCCTCTGAAACACCAAGCTCCTACCGCGAAGAAACCTCAACTCTTCCCCATTACAAACATCAACTGGTTAACCCTTTAAAGCCGAAAGCTCGTCTAAATAATATTTAAGAATTCAGTCCGTACCGCGAAGAAAACACTGCACTTCACCATTACGAAGATCAGCTGTTTAAGGAAATTCTCGCTGTTTTACAGCGAGAACCACACGAAACACATGGACACTGTGCGAGAAAAATGCCGAGTTAAAGAATGTTAACGCCTGGTACAACAGTTGCCAATGGGCTCTAAAGGGACGAACGTCTGCACGCGGTCATTTTGCCCATCAGGAGTTACGATTCTGAGCTCAGAAGTAACTGGGCACTGCGTACGCATCATCAACGTGACAGGTCGGCTCACGATCTGAGGTCCTGGAGCCTGTGCGAAGTTGGACGAAGGTTCTCAACCTGCGGACAACGCCTTTCGAGGGGAAAACGCGTAGTCTAGAACTGACAAAACAACTTCATTAATCCCGGCATGTGCTAAAACGAAGCTCATGAACGGACGTTTGCGTCATCTTACGTTTACCTCTAATTCGATTCGCTTACGTAAGCAGAGGCGACGTTCCTGAGATCTCTTCTTCCAATTAAGTCGAGGGACTTCCAACAGCGACGTCTGCGGCGCATTCAACAGGACATCCCTCGCCCCGGGGCTTCAAATTCACCTGCCTGCAAATACGACGAGAACATGACGCAGATGACGGATCGAAGTTCAAAGCGAGAGACGCACTTCATGCAACGCGTACACACGGTGCTCGGCAATTAGCGAGTGTGAGGGATCTTCGTGGCGGCTTCAAGGCAGATGCAAGTAACAACTCGGTGCTGACGGCCGTCTTGTCTGCCAGAGGGTAACCGACGTTTCAGAGGTGACTGCTGCCTCCGAAACGTCGGTTACCCGGCGCAACAACCAAGAAGACATCCACGTTCATACTCGTCATCGCGAGAACCTGAAACCTCGATTAATGTCGATATTACAAGACGTCTGGAGACAGGCGGCGAGATTTGAACCCGCGTAGTCGAAGACGCCCGGACATCCAGCTTCTACCGGGACCCGCCACCCTCTTGAAAGTCACCACGCTGTCTCGCCTTGGCGGATCTTTGTATTATTTCTGTCCTTTCTTCTCGTCTTAAGTAATTTCCTCAAGAATGAGCTACGCGACAGAGATGCTGCGATGTCTGCGACCTTCAACCCTTTGATGTCAGACTTCCTGTCCTCTTCACTCCAGTATCTTCCACATCTATCTGCGCGAGCGTCGAATGGCGACCTCTGCCTCAACGTGTAGGTGGTTAGTAACGTATCTATCACAGAGGTAAAGGCGGTACGTTCCTAACCAGGTAGCGAAGTCTCCAAGAAAAATCTGAGGTGAGAAGTCGAACCCCGCATTCCTGTCACCGGAATTTAGGCTGCACATACCAACCTTACCCGTAGGACGCGCTCTGCTAACCTCCCGAGTGCTGTTCCCTCCAGCCATTCGTCACATTCGAATATTAACGAGGTTTGTGCGTTTTTGTCTTACCATGAGAACTTGAGGAAACCGACAACAGTTTAACGCGCTGCTTAAACACTTGAACAACGATCGGAGGCGCAAAAGAATCTGCCGTCGCCACCGCCGTGGTCGACTTTCTTGCGCCTCGGGAACGATGAGCGAGCTCCCGCAGCCGAGGAACACGACGTCGCTGGTTTATCAGCTGCTGAATCTGCGGAAAGGATCCACGATGTGACCTTCAGTTCGAAACGGGCAAATTAATGGCAGTTCTGCAAACATCCATTGCACTGAAGAGTTCTGCGTGAAAACAACAACAACAACAAATAAAATTAACGTGTTTGTCGGAACGATCACTGCGCACATAAAAAGTGACGTCAGTTTTTGTTTTCAACGCAGGAGTCACGAGGGCCGAGCGACGCAAACAGAAAATTTGAATATGAACGCTCACACTTCAGACTGAGAAATATTTCCGTCTGCGCAAAATGACTCGTCTTATGTTTGTCTTCGAAAAGAACTTTTCCCCGTGTCCACCGGACAACGTAAGTTAATTGAAACTTATCTTACTGGGACGATGCTCGGAATGCCAACTCAGCACTGAGACTAATACAAATAAACGGACTGGCGTTGTATACGCAAGAAGTTGGAACCAATTTATTGTAACCGCAAATATTTAATTATATGCTCGTACAAACTATGACACGCAAAAGTTTAAAATTCGTTTTATTATAGAACAATCCCACAGTGGGCCATTTTTCCATGAACTGTGGCAACATGGCAAATTCCCTGAATGCATCCAGACAAAATCTTCCGGTTCGGCATGGCAACATGGCTAATTCCCTGAAAGCATCCAGACAAAATCTTCCGGTTCGGCCCCTTCTCACATGCTGTTTCATCATTGCTGATTTCGGTTCTCCCGGATACGCTGATGGCCCACTGGAATGTCCCAGACGTGAGTCTCCTCTGGGGCGGTCCAGAGCGCCAATGAAACCACAGCCAACGAAGTCGTAATGTGGGTGCGTAGACGCGTAGGGAAATGAAGAATGAAAAAGTCGAGCGATTGGTAAAGGAAACCTCGAGGAGACTGGGCGTCTGAAGGGCGGACGCACCGACAGCAGAGAGCGCGCGTCACGTCGGCCTCGGGCGGTAATGAAGAACCTCCCGGCGTGAAATGTGTACACAAGCCAAGCGACTAACAGCTTCTCAGGAAAAGCCTGTTTGTTTGTTTGTTTGTTAGTTGGAATGACGTGGTGGAATCTTACTTCGGGATGGGGGTGGGGTGGGGGGGTGGCCTACCGAGCACACAGACGAAATTCATCAACGGCACGTGCCGGTGTGTAAGCACTGGCTCTCGGCGAAGGCAGTCGGAAAACCAATTCGGAGTCATGGGATCGACGTAGAGCTGTACCAAACCGCCGAGTCTGACGAACCATCGCATGTTCAAGAGCGGTCGTAATTTCCCCGCCAATAAGGTCGCAAAAGGACGGTAAAACATTACGTGAAAACAAAAGAGTGTATTAAGTTCTCCGCCACTCGATTCAGAGGTGTCCGTGGTTGGCCTGCCCTAGGGTTACACGTCAAAGTTTCTCGCAAAAACCCGGTTATTTTATGACACTGCACCAACTGCTGGCGGTATACAGCCTACACCGATGCAAACGGATCCTTTGGTCGCTTCGCCCTGCGCGACGTAGAACCAGAACCTTGAGTGAACATAAGCATAGGCACGTACTGAAGACGTCACTAGTAACACGGCACGAAAATCTATTAAAGTTATCAAAATGAAACAGCGTTCGAACTGTCGCGTTAGGTGGCAGACACGAGCGCTAGAGAGACGAGACGAGTCGCGGTAAAACGGGTTCCCCCAATTTAATCTTCTCTCATTTCCTTCGTGAATAAAACTTCTATCGGCTACCAGAATGCTCACAAATTGCAATTCTCCACATTTCCAAAGGATTTGGTGCTTATATTATAATTCTGTCTTGTACTCCGGTGACGACACATCCTGGTAGACAAGGACTATCAAAAATCGTCCGACGGTGACACAACAACTTGATAATTGTGAACAGCAAATTCAGTACATTTTAAAACGCGCATAAAGCCGTATCACGTCCGCTTATTACTGTCACACTTGTCACGTGAGAAATCCCTCGACAAGGAACTGCCGATAAAAATGTAAATACTGGCAAATGACGTCAGCTGAGACATAATGGGCCACCTCGCCCACCTTGCTTCGTTATTATCTTCATTTCATTCTAATGCGCTGCAACTCAATGGACGTATCGTTTGAAAAAGAAGAAAATCCAGAGCACAATTACGTCCGGAAACATTGGCATGTGTGAAAGAGCATAAGGGCGAGGCGGGCTGCTTCTGAAAGGGCAACAGCCCTTCCGACAAG